TTTCAAACCCAATGCCGGAGTTTCCTAAAATAGAGATAGAGGGCATTAGAATATATCTGAAAACTGTCTGAAGAGTGGTAGAAGAACAAATGGAACTCACCACCAGTGACGATGACAACATATCCGGTCAAATCCGGAATGTCACTTGGGGTAAACTCGGGAAGGGGGGCTTGTTTGTTGCAGCTCATGTTGAAATGGAGGACGGATGAGAAATGGAGAAAAACTGATAACTAGAGTTTATAGAAAAGAGTTGAATATATTAAACAATGACAATGTTTCATTTAAAATAAGAGCAGAGCGATGGATCGGTATTTATGTAGGATATATTGACCATCACGGCGGACACGGAGACCACAGTCGGACGTCCGCGGATATGGTGGAGCCCGGACAGGGGAGAGCCACGCTTGGCTGATCGGCGGGAGGCTAGGGCTGAGGCTATAGATAGCTTCCAGCCATTGGTTAATTCATCAATGGATTGATAATCTAATGAAAATGGAAACGGAGCAACTAGCGAAGGAGAATGATTTAGTGCCGGAGCCGAAGTGTCAGCTCTGTAACGGTTTGATAGGATATTAGCTAAAGCTGAGAATTCCACACGCATATCCCTCCAAGGAAACGGACGGGCCGTCGTGATAGCATCGTTGGCAGGGCCTTGTATGATACAGGGAAATTCTATGGTATTTACCTCTTCAGCGCTTGAAGATTGCTCTACGAACGTGATTCAGGAAGAATATTGCCGGGGTATTGTCTTATTCCTGGTGTATCATCGATACATTAGAATGAAGGGTTCAGACACAACAATAATAACTCATTTTGACACTGAAATTGTTAGAATTCTTCTTCTTCCTCTTCTTCCACCTCTTTCTTTCTTTAAAAAAAAGTGACGGAAAAGATCTCCAAAAGGTAGGAGACCAAAAGGTAGGGAATGAAGTGGCATGCTAGTTGGATGGTTCTAGAATATCTAAGGAGAGAGAAGATGCTGTAATCCAGCTAATCGTTGGTGGAACTACTAGACCCCATGACCATCTGCCTTCAGAACAATCGTCAGCCCCATGAATTTTTTTTTCCAGTGATGAAGATTTGAGGAACTCTCATTGTAGGAACAGATGGAAGAACGTCGAACTTAATGGACAATCTGACTGGGATATCTCACCCATCTGGCTGCTTCGGAGGTCAAAACATAATGCCGCCTCCATCATTCCGACTTGCCACTTCTTTTTGTCACGAGACGAATACTCGTCATTCTTGCGACTATGATGACGTGGATACTTACTCTACATATTCTGCCTTGGGCTGTGTAGGTCTTGAATAGCGAATGGTAATCGAGTGGCATTGCAGATAAGGGTAAGCAAGGACCTCGGTGAAAACCGGAAATTCCGGAGCTTAGGGTCACACAAGACGTACTTGAATGGATTCTTGATTGGTCCAATGTTTCCCATTCGGCCAATAACTGAGCTTGACTGACCGTCTCTTGCTGACAAGATCATGTCAGCAGAACCGAGACTCAAAAGAACACCGAGAGGCGATGCTTTGTATGACTTTTGGCCCCCAAAAGAACATTCTATCTGATGAGATTTCCTTTTTTGGGAAACTAATGGGCATGTTTTCCTCAAGGCGACTCTTATGGAGCGAGTGAGGCGTAAGCCTTGTCATATTGGTTCACGAATCATGTCTCTTGGAAGCCTATCGCCAACGCCGCCACATTCATCATCATGTCTGGATCATTACCGAAATCTGGTACCAAATTGCGTATATAAAACCTTGTAGGGTGCTTGGAATTTCTATAAATTGAAGCCAATGACTCTCTTTCCACTTGTATTTTGATTGCTTTAATTATCAAGTCATCCTCAAATAGCCCCCACAAGCCCTCGGCCGCTCGTTAAAACCATCTGTTTTATAACGGTTCGAACTATTAGTCACTTTTCCAAAATGAGCGAAAACGAAACAGTCAAGGTTCCAAACCCTCCCCCGACCCCGGCTGAAGAAGCTGTGTTGGAAAACAAGATATGAGGCGCAGAATTACACCATACAGACATGATGGCGTGCTTCCTCACCACGATGTCTTTTCAATCCTCTGGTCCTTGAAGAGACAGACAAGGAGAATACAAGCATCTAAATTTCGAGTTTCATGACTTTTGCAAAATTCCTTTCCAACATACAAAAGCCAATATGCCGTTTTCGTGAAGCTGGGCGATATCTTACGACAACCAGCGCCAAAACGGACCAAAAAAATCCGACAATGAGTGAGAATTTGATGGAAGGGATTGAAGTATAAGAAGCAACAGAATACTTGCATGAGGCAGTGAAATAAGAGTTTTGACTTTGTGAGAGAGTTGAGGACCTGAGGTGGCCTGCTAGAGAATACGAGAGTGACAGGGAAATTACATTGAAAGGGAAAACTAGACGAAAATACGGTCTAGTACTGGAACTTTAAACATTATAAAAGACTTAATTTGATATTAAGGTGTACTTTATTATGTATATTTCTCTCGAGATTGCCCCCCATTTAAACTCATTATGAAAAAGGGGTAAAAGTGTGCAGTATGATAGAATGGCGAACTAATTGAGGTTTGTATCACTTACTGGGAAGCCTCTTAACTAGCAGTAAAGATTTTTTATCTGGCAGCTTGCTGTAAGTAGAGCGGGAGATCCGAATTATTATAGCTGGAGGTCGGACTGAGCCCTCTCATGGTTACGGAGTTAATCCCCTTGCATGGAGTCCCGTCTATGTTGCCGTCACAAATTTGCTGTTCCACAGAGGAAAGAATGCTCCTGACAATTGGCAGACGCACTGCGACCTCGCGGAGGGCTTTGGGAAGGCCTATCGCATCCAATGTCGTCTCGTATTCTTGTTTTGTTACGTCGATGATTGCAATGTTCGATGTCACGACACCCTAACAGCTATAGCCTCGATGCTCGGCATGGCCTTGGTATGACATTGCAAAGTAAGATATGTTGGAACGGCCAGTATGTTGTTTTCTAGTGCTCGGGAGTTCGATTCCTTCGAGCGAGAAGTCACAGCCTTGCACGTCATGCTCGTAGAGTAGCCGGTCCTTCTTGATGTGTCTAGGTCAGCAGCTAATACATAGCGAAGAAGGAAGGAAGAGCTTGCCGTGGAGCTTCGAACGAAGCAAGTATTAAGTTAGACAGGAGTCGCATAAGAGGCTGGGCGGTGACCCTGATTTGTCCTACTTATGTGTTTTTTTATCAAAAAAGTTGCAGCATTTTAATTCTGCACTTTCAATGCGCAGCAAATAGTCACGCGGGGAAAGCTAAGCTTCCTCGCTGGTCAGACAGTCGCCGGAGCGGAACTGTTCAGACGCCTCCAACACTGTTGCAGTTTTTTGCTGAAGGGTATAGGCACAAATCAAGGCCTTAAACGGAGCCACCGTGTGTATAGGGGCAAGATCAGTGACCTGGCCAGCGTTAGTACACGGGAAATACAAAGAGTGTTTCGAGAGCGGAAGTCAATGTTGGCCGTAACTCTACAAGGTTTATGTCTGTGAGCCCTCCCGTGCTGAGATCCCCACCGCTCCCTTCGCTCAGTGTGCTCCAGGGCGAAGGTCGCAACCATAATTGGTACCCAAATCAAGGTTTTCATTCCGCCGCTTCTAACTTTTCTCCCCCATTTCTCTTCCTTGACGGAGGGCATCTATCATCTACCTTACTTCAATTTATGTTCTGCCTTAAAATTTCATCTGCACCGGAGACATCCGCCCGATATGGCAAAGGTAGAAGCTGAAGGCATACCGTCCAAGTCCCCGTCTTCTGCCAACAAGAAGCGGAGGCATTCAGATGATGACGACTTGGCATCGAGTGCCCGGGAGGCTCTTCTCAATGGCCCAAGCAGCAGCTCCCATGCCGCGAGGAGATCAAGTCTGACCAAGCCTGGCCGCGACAAGCTCGATGAGCCTGAAGGCAAGCGCCCAAAGCGCCAGCGAAAAAAGCAAGACGACCGGGATAGCCGGGCGGCGAGTCCTGCAATTGATTTCGACGGGCTGAGTCGACCCAGCGTGGGCACGCGGGCGCGATTGGAGGAGAGCCCTGAGGAGAAAGCTGATCGGCTGGAGCGCATGAAGGGGGCGGTGCGGACACTGCTGGAATGCGTTGGAGAGAACCCCGACCGGGAAGGGCTCCTCGCCACCCCTCACCGATATGCGAATGCCCTCTTGGACTTTACGGTGGGCTACCAGCAGAATGTGATGGATATCGTCAACTCGGCCATCTTCGAGGAAGGCCACAACGAGATGGTCATCGTCAAGGACATTGAGGTCTTCTCCGTCTGCGAGCACCATCTGGTGCCCTTTACGGGCAAGATGCACATCGGCTACATCCCCAACAACGCCGTGATTGGGATATCCAAGCTACCCCGGATTGCCGACATGTTTTCCCGGCGGCTCCAGATCCAAGAGCGGTTGACCAAGGAGGTTGCCAATGCCATTTTCGAGGTCCTCCAGCCCCAAGGTGTGGCGGTGGTCATGGAGTCTAGTCATTTGTGCATGGTGATGCGAGGCGTGCAGAAAGCCAGCAGCACGACTGTGACCAGCTGTGTCCTGGGCTGCTTCGAGCGCAAGGAAAAGACGAGAAATGAATTTCTGAGCCTCATAGGCGTGAATCGCCGCTAGGGATAGGAGCCCTGATGATCGACATGGATTGGAACCCAAGGCCGCGTATCCTGGAGCAAACAGAGGATCGGGTGGATTCTGATTTTGATTCACGCCCATGTGAATTAATTGTTTGAAAGAGTGCCTAGTCATTAGGAGGGGCATCCAAATGTAACCACCGTTTTCTATCCTAAATCTATCTGCACCTCATGATTTACTGAATCCCATTGCAAGCAGCGTTGTTTTTCTATTTTATTAAATCATATGAGCTGGTAATTGTTGCTCAGATATTCCAATAGGTTGCGCTTGGGCCCGCAGTTTCAGGCATCTGTCTTTTCATCCAACCCAACAGGATCATCCACCGCCTGCATCAGTTACACATACACACTCAGCGCCATGGCGACCCGTTCAACCCGCACTTATGAATTCCCCGACGAAATATGCGCTGCTCTTAATTCCAGATCAACAGTTCGATTTGTTGTCAGAAGAAAGGCCGAGCTCGAATCTCGACTTGCGGCGCCCATCGTTCAGGCTGCGTCTAACAGGGCTGCCACGATAAGCAGGGCACTCCTCAAGCAAATGGGACGGGAGGATGCCAAGTTCGACATAGAGATGGTCATGATCGAGCTATTGGATGCCAAAACAACCGTCTATTTCTGTTTCGATATTTTCCTAGAGGAGTGCGACGAAGCGACTCGGCTCGGCATATCTAACAGCACTCGGGAACCCGTCTACTACCTGTACGTCACTGGACAACACTGTGTTGCCCGAAAGGACAGTAGACCGCAGCGGATAGTTGGGCAGCTGCTGGAAGCTTATCTCCGGAATGATAAAGGGCCACGCCCTTTTTTCCACGATGCTCTGACCCCATCAGTCCATGTTGACAGTGTCCGCCAAGAATGTGGGACGGAGGTTGGGGCGGTATCGTCGGAACAGGAACAGGGTGAAAACTCGGCAATCCAGCAGAAAACACCAGTCAAGGACAGTTGATCAGCAGGAGAGCTCACGATGGGGATTGTAGAAGAAACGAGCTGTATATCTGGTATCCTTTCTCTTTGCACTTTGCACACTTCTCGTCAGTAGAATGGTAGAATTTACATGTAAACCTGCGATCGCTCATTTGTGCGTTATCTCGAGTCATTCTCTTGCATTGAGTCTTTCTCCTGGGTATCTTCAATCGATCGAGTAACTGTGATTCTGGGTGTCAATTATATCAAGACTTATATACCCCTGGTAGGCAGTGGTAGCTGAATGCATGGTGCCAGGGTGCTATATAAAAATGGACATGTCTGCCCTATAAAAATAATCGGGTAGAATCGCACGATAATCCACCTATTATGCTACCTTGGGCTAAGGTAGTGGATGCTACCTGGAATCAGATAGGAGTCATTTGCGCAATTACCTCCCTGTTACATTCTTCACTGGACGATTCCTTAAGTGGAACAGTGACAAACTGCTGACCCTCCTGGAGGTTGCAATTGCCGACAGCTAGCTTTGGGCGAGGGTTACATCGTGGATATTCTGCCGAGAAAATCAATCTTGGCTAGGCCAAATGCTGCTGCCGGCGCGTTCAGTGCATGGATGGCCCAGCTACGCTCGGGCCTAGAATCATGCCCAAGAGTGCCAGGAATCGATTTAGTGCCCACCTTTAAGGCGCGGTTAGCGGGTAAGCGACCCAAAACCTCCAGTGTTGAATTTCGACACAATATCAAGCTTAATATCATAGAATGATTTCTTATTCCTTATTATTATGTTTAGTAATATTAATAAGAAATAGGCCCTACTATACGTGAAAAGGGCTCTAGTGTGCCATGTTTTATTCCAGCGAGTAAGGATCGTTCGGAGTGTGAGGCAGATTCGGCTAGGCACAAACGATTGAATGAATCGATGCCCATTGCGTGAGTCGTTAGTTCCCCGTCGTGACAGCCGACAGGGGGCTAAGGCAGCACTGACACGGGCAGTTAGGGGGGAGCAGACCCTCGCCTCAGCGCTCCTGCTTCCATTGCATCCGCCGCTATTGGATCTAACCACCGCCAACCGCTGCCTTAGCCCAAGCGATGGAAGGCACCACCTGCTAATTTCAATTCAATGTTGCTAAAGCTTCCCGGTCTGTGCCTGCTTTAGCCTCTCTGGGATCCGAGACTCATGCGTTCTGCTGCGAAATAACTGTCTTCATGCATCCGTAGGAACTGCTCCGAGCCCAGGCACTCAAACCACTTTTATTTTTACCTAGGTACCACACCCCAATGCCTGCCCATCGCCATCATGCTGGATGGGTGTGAACGTGGAGAAACAGGTGTGTGGAACGGACTCAGCAAGGTAGGCCCCTTGTCGCCAAACCACCAGCGCCTGGTCTTGGTGAGTCAAGCACCCGTGTTTACCCTCCATCTCCTATAACTGCATGCCCGATGCCTTATCTATCCCGGCGTTCCTCACATGTGCGAAAACGAGGCCTGTGTTTTCTCCCCGACAAAGCCTGGCTGTCACTATTCGCTACCTATTCTACACTCCAGGGGGCGGACTGGTCTGCCATGGCCTCGTCCCATTCCATGCCCCATTGTGACATGATTAATTAATTGGATCGAGTAGGCCTGATAACTTGGCCGCCAATATTGATACCTACCACCCGGCTGCTGACCCCATCCCACAACCAACCGTCCCAACGACATCAGCAGGCCATGGCACCTGATCTGGTCGCTCGGGTTCGGGAGAAGCTATCCAAGAGACGACACTCGTTTGCTTCATCCTTCTCATTTGTCTCTTCAAAGAGCGCGGCCTCATCGATCCAGGACGACCACAACGAGACGCGCCCCGGACAGTTGTCGCCAGCCAGTTCCACCCTGCACAGCGCCGCTGGGCGCCCCGGTTCAAGGATCAACAGACGTCGGTCACAACAAATGGGCGAACCGTCCCCAGATGCATCTCGCAGCATGCCGCCGGAGTCGGCATCTGACAAGCAGCAGGACCCAGAGGACGAGCAGCGGAGGAAAGACGATCATGAAGCTGAGCTCGTCTCGGCAGAGCAGCCGAGCCTAATTGCTGCTAAGCTGCAGGGCACCGATGGCGCTGAGCAGGCTAAAGCCGCCGATCAGCTGGGGGATTCAGCCACTGCTGGAGATGCTGCCAGCAGCCACAGCGAAAGCAGGAGTGCCAGTCCTACGAGATCCGCCCACATTCCGAAGCAACGCCAGCAGCAGCCACAACCTGAAGCTGAGGCTGCTGGCGGCGAGCATTCTTCCGCTCCGCTAGCACCACCCAAGAGCCAACACCCATCTCTGCCATCCCAATTATCGCCGCTGCCCACCGAGCTACACAGCATCGACGAGGCACCAAGCCCTCCGTCACCCCATTCACCGCCAGAGCGCTCCGCCAGCCATCCTCCTGTCCAGCATTCCGTTGCCGACGGCGCTTGCGACGCCTGGGCCGGCTCCTCTACCTCGCCCGCCAATGACAGCGGAAGAGTCGCACGCCGCCGAGACAAGACACCGGACACGTTGTCTCTGAATCTCCACGACAATAATAAATCCTTTCTGGCAGCTGAGCCACCCAACGTCGACACACCTGCCTCCCCCAGCATCCGGGTCCAGCCACCAATACGGCGCCAGAGCCTGCTTAGCAATCGTCAGTCGAATCTGATTCATTCGCTTCTGGGTGCATATGATTTCGAAGACAACGGCAGCGGTCTGCCTCCTCTCGACATAGTTGCCAAAATGGCACAGCGCAAGATCTGGGTCAAGCGACCGAACGCTTCGCCTACTCTGGTCATCGTTAACGAGGACGACCTGGTCGACGACGTCCGCGGAGCGATTTTGCACAAGTATGGCAATTCGCTTGGCCGAAGCTTCGACGCCCCCGATCTAACACTCCGAATCTCCCCCCGCGAGCAACCACAGCGCGAGCGTATTCTCGGCCCAGAAGAGCCCATCTGCCGCACCTTGGACACGTGTTTCCCTGATGGTCAGCGCGTAGATGAGGCTCTCATCATCGATATCCCTGCTCGCCGAACGCCGAGACCGTCACCGCGAATCCAAGCTGGATATTACATCAATGACGAAGGCCGGCCATCAGAGGCTGCCGAGGGCTATTTCCCACCTGTTGGTGGCATACCTTCACCCCATCATACCGTCACCGTCCAGCCACCAACTAATGGAACAGTCCCTCACTCAATTGCCGTTATTGGCACCGGCCACATCCCTCCGATCCCATCGCCTGGTGGTACGCGGCCGCGAGCCGCCAGGGAACGCACCAATCGACCCAGGATCACAAGAACACAGACATCCTCGCCGTCATATGTAGCGAACCACCCTCAAGGCGCCTCAAACTCCGTCGACAATACCAGCTACGGTCACGGTACGCAGCACTACACCTCACGACCTTCTCATTCGCGGGCCCATTCGAACTCGTCAGAGTACCAAAAGGGATTGCCACCGCCAACAAACCCTATAACCTCCTCTCCAGGACCTATCGTCTCACATCCGCGCTCCTCGACTCCCCCTCCCCGAATCTCCTCTCCCCGCCCGAACGCAAACCGCAAGAAATCTAGGAGAACAGCCGAATACCCCACCGCACCAACCGCCATCAACGTCGGTGTTCCACCCATCAATGTCCTTATCGTAGAGGATAACCCTATCAACCTCAAGCTCTTGGAGGCCTTTGTCAAGCGGCTCAAGGTTCGGTGGCAGACGGCAATGCACGGCCGGGAAGCGGTAGATAAATGGAGAACGGGCGGCTTCCATCTGGTTCTGATGGATATTCAGCTCCCGGTCATGGATGGCCTGGACGCAACACGAGAAATTAGACGACTTGAGCGCGTCAATAATATCGGCGTATTCTCATCTTCGGACGGCCTGCCCGAAGAATCCGACGATGGCGACATCAAGGAGCAAGACCGACTGCAACATAAAGAGCTATTCAAGAGCCCAGTCATTATCGTGGCATTGACAGCAAGCTCGCTCCAGAGTGACAGGCACCAGGCGTTGGCCGCTGGCTGCAATGATTTCTTGACAAAGGCAAGTAGCTCATCTCCCCAAACAGGTACCAATACACGACGGGCAATGGACTGACAACAGATTAGCCTGTCAACTTTGTGTGGCTTGAGCGGAAAGTCATGGAATGGGGCTGCATGCAGGCGCTGATCGATTTTGACGGCTGGAGAAAGTGGAAAGACTTCTCCCAATTGAACCAAGAAAGTGAGGCGTCCAAGAAAGCAACCGCCGCTGCTAAGGCCAAGGCGACGAAGAAGAAGAACCGTTCGTCACTTTCGACATACACTTGAATACCTAGTCTAGTGTAGGCCACTGCCCATTGCCTGCCTGACAACATAATACACGAATTACCGAGCGAATGCCAATTTGGGCAAACCGGTTTCTGATTTCGACTGGTACCATCGTTTGTTTGTTTCTTAGAACAGCATCTGTAGCTGTTGGGATACCCATAGACCGCGAATGGAGAGGCGTTATGATGGCCCCCTGAATACGATGTTCTTGAAGGTTTATAATGGTGTGAGGTTTTCTCAACATTGCTGTGGCTGATGAACATGAGATCTATCATTTTCAGTATCCCCCCTGTACCGGAGCGTATGGTATCTATCAATTTGCTGTGCTCCTTTTATCTGGATTGGTTTGTTGTGGGCTGTGATTGGCAAGGATGGATTACACTTAAGGAGATACGTAGTAATGTCTTAATAGCCTACGCCTCTTCAATTGAAGCGGCTGGAAAGGCTTGATACAATACCTCAATCATAGTGTTTGCCAAATGACTAGTATTAATATTAAATGTTTGGTAATATAGCATGCTGCGATACTACTGCAATACTCACATCTTGATTTTTGGGTGGAGCATGGGGTGGAAGACGGAAGCGGCGGAAGCGGATAATCTAATTTGCCGTAGGCGATGAATTTTGCGCTTGCTCAACGACAGGAGCAGCTTCACCTCTCCATAATTGTCACACCCACGACAGACATCCCAATTTTCCGATTCAGTCGAAGGGGCATGCGGTGCAATTGAGTTCCACCCGTGTGAACGTCAATTGACCATGGCTCCCAGAATATGCGGCACGTCAACGACGCTGGCGTCGCTCGACGCATGTCTCCAGACCTCCAGCCGCCTCGCTGCCCACGCGACGAGACCCTTTTCCTTAACATGCCGAAACGAAAAGATTACCAAAGGCCGCTATGAGATGGTCAAATGGATCAAGGAGAAGGCCACGAATAATTTCGACAAAAATCATCCCACGTATCTTGGCCCCCAAGTTGACCAACCTTTCCCATCAAACCCTCTATTTCGCAGTCAGACTGTGTTGTCAGAATCGATGAAGAACAGGATCTATACGCAGGTAATGGACCACGGTGTGGCAATGAAGGCGGTGTCCGAAGAGATGCAGGTCGACGTGAGGAGAGTGGCGGCCGTCGTACGATTGAAAGAACTCGAGAACCACTGGAAACTTGAGGTGAGTTTGCCCCCATCGTCCCAGCCTGACGTTCTCTTTTCCCACCCTTATCTCCCAATTGTGTGCAATGATGAGACCATTGTAAATTTTCGATTAGTCTTGAAGACACCCACATGGTTAAATTCTTTTTTTTCCTGATCTGCCACGCTTTTATCATCTGTCATTGTGTTGATTTTTACCTTGACGGCATGGGTGCTAACATCCGATGCTACCACACAGGGCAAAAAATTCGCAACCCCATATGCCAAAGCCGTCATGAAGATGCTCCCCCAATCCCAGTGGGCTCACGGCGATATGAACATTCCCCATGAACCCATCAACGACATTCCAGTCCATAAACTCTCGATGCAGCAGCTCTTCGTACCAGTCTCCGAGTCGCGCCACTTCACTCGTGAAGATGCCGCCAAGGCTTTCCACGAGGGTCTCCTATCGGCTGACAAGCGATCGCCCCAGCGAGAGCTGATCGAGATCGAACGCCAGGCCGCCGAGGAGGGTGGTGATCGGGCGACGAGCATCGAGGAGTTTAGGAAGGAAGCACAAGAGGCCGAGGAGCTATACGCGACCGAGCTGGCGCGGAAGAGCGAACTCGAGGATGCAAGAGTCAAGAAGCAGCAGAAGGGGCGGTTCGAGTTCAGGATCAAGAGGTACAATTCCGAGAACGTGGGCAAGTACGGCAGGGCTCGCGATGCCACCGGATGGCGGTACGGTGCGGCTCTCCAGGACCGCAAGCGGGGGATGGTCAAGATTCCCACGTCTGTTCCCTGAAGAGATGGTTGCTGCATTGGGAGAGCGATCGTGTATCATCATATAACTCACCCGGGTGGGCCGAGCTGTGTCGACGATTGTCCAGCCGAGTAATAGGTTGAAACGGCCACCGGATATGACAGCTGTATACTACTACAAAAGGTGTTCATGTATACTATATAAATCTAGCGTCGTGGTTTACCACTTGAGGGCTCCGCGCTCGTTGAATGATGATTATGATGTTCCAACATGCTGATAGGAGGTATGTAAGCTACCTTGTATTTCCCCAGTGCTTGTTCCCGTCAAACCCACGCCCCCTTGCGAGACTTATTCCGAGCTCAAGCGGCTTGGGGGAATAGGCCCGACCCTCATCGCTTTTGTCATATCTTGTTAGAAGCATCGCCAACTAGAGCTCGTTGCTACGCCCAGGAAGCTACTTAGCCACATGTGACATTGGATGCTATGCTGGCAACACAATTGATTGTATCATGTACCATTATGTGTTTGTCCAAGCTAACAATGCAGCAGATCTATAATTAGTTTATAAATAGTTAGAAGAAAACGGTAGGTAGGTAACTGACGATCAACACCGCCACAGCACAGAGTAAGCCGTGGTGAGTCACAGCACTATCCACCATGCACATAAAACCATCAGCACGCTCACCCCGGGGAGGGCATTGAGAACTCAGGAACACCAAGGAGAATAATTGCATTTCGAGGGCATAATGGACCACCACAGACCTTCTACACCAATCTGATTCGCTCAACCTCGCAACGATGTGTGGCCAAGATCTGGAAGCCGAGGCGCCCCGCGTCTTCGGCGACGACTTCCCATGGCATCTCGGCGTGTTTGACGTCCACAACCACATTGGCGAACTCGCTCCATTGGCCGAAAGAATACCCAAAATGCGAGCCCGCGGAGTCGCCATCATGGCCACCCGCACGCAGGACCAGCCGCTGATCGCCAAAATCGCAGAGTCGTACGGCCTGAAAGACGCGGGTCAGCTCTCGGCCGCGGATGCCACGACAACTGTCGTCCCCGGGTTCGGCAGGCACCCCTGGTTCTCGCACGAGCTGTACGAAGATTCCGTCGAGTCGCCGACCTTCTCGCCGCCGGAGACTGAGGACGGGCTGGAGGAGGCCAAGATGGCGCACTACCGCGCCGTCCTCACGCCGCCGCCAGACGACCCGGCCTTCGTGGCGGACCTGCCGACCCCGGAGCCTCTGTCCGGGTTCATCTCGGCGACCAGGGACAGGCTGATGAGCCACCCGCTGGCGATCGTGGGCGAGGTAGGGCTGGACAGGCCCTTCCGACTCGCGCGGCAGTGGGAGCCGGGGGCGAAGGCAGCCCGGGCTCTGGCCCATCCGGATCGCACGACGGGGGGACGGGGCCGCCGTCCCCTGAGCCGCCACAACGTCGGCATGGCGCACCAGAAGGTCGTCCTGCTGGCGCAGCTGAGGCTGGCGGGGGAGATGGGCCGCGCGGTGAGCGTCCACGGCGTGCAGGTGCACGGGGTGCTGTTTGATCTGCTGGTGGGCTGCTGGAAGGGCCACGAGCGGAGGGGCAAGACGTCGCGGCGAAGAAGGCAGCAGCAGGGGCCGGGTACTCCCTCTGCTGCGACTGCGAGGGCCTCTTCGGCTGAGGGAAAGGAGGCATTGCCGTACCCGCCGCGGATATGCCTCCATTCGTTCAGCGGGAAGGCGGAGGCGGTGCGGCAGTACCTCAACCCGCGGTTCCCGGCGACCATGTTCTTCTCGTTCTCCAAGTCGAACAACATGCGGGACGAGGCGGGGCGGGCGAAGATGGAGGACGCGCTGGGCACGGTGCCGGACGACAGGGTGCTCGTCGAGAGCGACATACACGAGGCCGGGGACAGGATGGACGGCGACCTGGAGGACACGTACCGGGCTGTCTGCGCGTTCAAGGGGTGGACGCTCGAGGAGGGGGTGGGGAGGATCGCGCGGAACTACAGGCACTTCATATTTGGGGAGGACGGGGAGGAGGCCTCGTAGGGTTGTCATCTCCGATTAGACTGTAGCGTTCTCAATACTTTTGTTTTGGTGTACCTAAGATGTTATATAGCAACATGATCGATGCCTATAGAAGAGCCGTATGTCGTGTGAAGCGACGATCATACCGTTATGTCAGTGAGGCGTAGGGGAGTGGCCTGAAGAAGCGATTCTTTAGCTTTGCAGAGGTCCTCTCCTGGGGTTTACCTTTGAAGCTAGATTTTTTGAGCGATGGACTTCCAATCGTTGCATGTAGAGCGGGCGACGCAAACCCGTCGAGCCTTTGTCTCGCCGATTTCATCCTCGAGGAAGGCCTGTGGCCGTCTCAAGTCTCGTTGACCTGTTCAAGTAGCCAATTCCCTTGGGCAATTCTGAAATCTTTCCTGTACACATAGAGGTGAAATTAGGTGTGTCAAGAGCGCGCTCAAAAGTCCTGGATGCCTGTCTCACGAGCGCTTGCACCGTTGTGAGGGGCCATGGTCTCGTCGACATCGTCATCCACCCAGCTGGGTTCTTCCTTGTCGAACCAACGGTCCTCGGCGTCTTGGATCTCCAGGGCGTCGTACCCCTCGTCGTTGTCGACGAGGCTGTAGTCGAACTCGTCATCTCGCCCATGCACGAAGCGGTCTTCGAGGAACGCTCGCCACAGCTCGAGGCCTTCCTCCTTGTCCCGCGCATCGTCATCCCAGGCATCCAGCCCGGTCGGCATCGAAGCCGGACCATTCTCGGCCGTACGGCCCTGTGCGCTATCGGGGGCGGAGGCGCCGTTGCCCTGCTCCTCGGCGCGCAGGTTCGCAAGCGTTGTCTCGCCTCGGACGAGAGACGCCTCGAGGGTGCGGCCATAACCCTTTGCCTTGACGTCCTTGCTGCGCTCCTCGGCAGACTGGAACCTCTTTACCAGGCGCTCATAGATGACAGGATCTTTACGGGTATGTTAGATACTCTATCTTTACACTGGCATATGCTTGAGTCTTACCCGCGAGTTCATGTTCTATGTTTTCATAGTACGAGGGATGCTGCTGCAGGTATTCGCGGCGTCGGTTCTGCACCCTTACCCGGGCGGCAGAGGCTGG